AGAGAGAGAGAGAGAGAGAGAGAGAGAGAGGAGAGAGAGAGAGAGAGAGAGAGAGAGAGAGAGGAGAGAGACGAGAGAGAAGTGAGACAGAGAGAGAGAGAGAAAGAGAGAGAGAAAGGAGGAGAGAGGAGGGGGGAGAGAGAGAGGGAGAGAGAAGAAGAGAGAGAGAGAGAGAGAGAGGAGAGAGAGAGAGAGAGAGAGGAAGAGAAGAGAGGAGAGAGGAGAGAGAGAGGAGAAGAAAGAGAGAGAGAGAGGAAGAGAGAGAGAGAGAGAAAGAGAGAAAATGAGAGAGAGGTGAGAGAGGGAGAGAGAGAGAGAGAGAGAGAAGAGAGAGAGAGGAGAGAGAGAGAGAGAAGAGAGAGAGAGAGAGAGAGAGAGAGAGAGAGAGAGAGAGAGAGAAAGAAGAGAGAGAGAGAGAGAGTGAGTGAGTGAGTGAGTGAGTGAGTGAGTGTGAGTGAGTTGAGTGAGTGAGTGAGTGAGTGAGTGATGTGAGTGTGTGAGTGTGTGTGTGTGTGTGTGTGTGTGTGGTGTGTGTGTGTGTGTGTGTGTGTGTGTGTGTGTGTAGTTGTGTGTGTGTGTGTGTGTGTGTGTGTGTGTGTGTGTGTGTGTGTGTGTGTGTGTGTGTGTATGTGTGAGTGTGTAGTGTGTGAGTGTGTGAGTGTGTGAGTGTGTGAGTGTGTGAGTGTGTGAATGAGTGAGTGTGAATCATGAACGTATGGACTGTACAGTAAAAGAAGTTTCCTTTAAATTTACATTACTTGAGTCAAAGACCCCGTGAAAACAAAATTTATTGTCCCCATACCAAAAGCCGGCAACGTTGTCTTGAACATTCAACAAATATCTGCTTGGCAGAATTACTGAATAGCGTTGACAATCCTCTTCTAATGATCATTGTGACAACACGACTTATAAGGTTTGTTTATATTCTGCACTCTGGTGTTTCAATTCCTTTTAGCGAAGAGTAGTAATTTACGAACAACTCTAAGCGAAAAGAGTGCAAACAAATATATTGTTCCTGATAAGATCCATATATATATATATACACAATACATGCATAATTAAACGAAATTTCTATATGATACATATCATATATTGGTTTATAAAATAAAAGGTGGAATACATTTTCAAGTCAAATGTTGAAAATATTTCTTGTTCGCTAAAACTGTTTCAGACGAGATGTTCGTTTCCGGAATTCATATACATAGTAATCATTAGAAAATAAATACAAAGATCAATATTAATAAAAGATACGAAATGGTAAATTAACGTTGAATAATATAGATTAATAGCATATTACAAAACTAATGACATCCGTAAATATTGTGGAAATGCAGACGATGCACCAGCTGAGTATAGACGACAGTATACACTTCTTTTGAATCAAGGATTTTAGAATTGGATCTATCTTAAAGTATTACAAATAATAGATAAACTACATAATAAGATAAAGATTTGATATCGATGCGATTTTCTTTAAAATTGCGGTGAACTTATGTATATGTTGATATTTATGAGAATAACATTGAGCAGAGAGAAAGGGAAACGATAAAGCAAACCGGCGGCCGGCCAAAGCTCATTATTTCATACTGAGGATATATTTGTTCCTTTTCATCAACTAGAGTCTGAAATTTTATGTTTAAGAAGGTAGAAAAAGAAGAAGAAATTGACCAGCACAGTATCTGTCAAGGTTGATGCTGTCAACTAGAGCCAATGACAGCTTTGAAGTTCGAGTGCCACACTTTCAGGCATATTTACAGTGAATATACAGTAATTTTTGACGCTATGAAAAGTAATAAAAAAAGTTTTCTACGTTCTTGAATGGCAACAACAATTTTTTAACAATTGTAGGCTCGTATGGGTGAGAAATTATATTTTTCCTGTACAGGATATAATAAATTTTATATCTCTAGACTGGAAAGTTTGCAAACTGTGCAGTGGATGGCAAAAATCTTTCATATATATATGCATCTGGAATAGATCAGTGCATAGGTACATGAATTAACTTCCACAAATTTTTGATGTAAACTTTCAGTATTATTGGAAAAAGACGTCACCAAAGAATCAATGAAAACTAACCTATCAACCTTGAAGATATTTAATTAATGGTCACTTTTCATTCAATAAACTTGTTTCGCAAATGAATAATAACGAAGTTATTTAATTATCAAATTAAATGAAAATTATAATAAAAGCTATTAGAAGCTATGAAATTCATTTTTCATATTAGTCTCGCCATGGCTTCCATGTGTGCAGGGTGTCATATGAAACCATACCAAGTTAGAAAAGATTATTTTGAAGACGATGAAGCTAGCTTGAAACTAGTAGGTGAACACGGAGTGCTACCCTCCGAAGTGCCCTGCATTAGACAATATAGTGACTTAATTAGCACCATGATTACAGCAGTGGAAAATTTGGTTAGTATTCCCTCAGTGATCATGTGAATCTCGTCTTCTTTTAATATTGTTTTTATTTATTTTCATAATTAGATAACTTTGTTATTATTCATTTGCGAGACAAGTTTATTTAATGAAAAGGGATCATTAATTAAATATCTTCAAGGCTGTATGGTTAGTCTTCATCGATTCTTTGTATTCCTTAGTAGTCTAATCATTACTGTATTTAAAACATGCCATTTTTGTTGTGATTCATATTGTTGTCTTTACTAAAACAAAATGCACTGGCTTTGTAGCTACTGGAATGCTGATATAATTTTTTGTGTGTGGCTGGTATCCTGCAGATGGCCATTGTATTTGCAATCCTCACATTTTGTATTATAAACTTTCCAATCTGGTCATGACTCACATATATGTATATATATATTTTTTGTATAATTGAGTAACTCCACAATTACCATTTTTTCTTTCTTTATGGTAGACTTTGCGATAGATGCTAGGAAGATGTTAGCCACTAGTTGATGCAGTTGAGGCAGTTGGTGCCCCAGCAAATACCAACAAACATCCCTAAGGATGTTCTGGCAAGATAGAGTTTGTATACCTCCTTAGTAATTTACAGTTGGCAATTATATAGAATATGAAAATCCTGTCCAGGCTCCATCTTGCCAGAATATATGTGGCGGAAGCTTTTGGCCGTTTGCTGGAGTGCCAAAAGTAGTTTTTTTTCTTGTTCCTGGAGTGTAGTGTAATGTCTTTACTAATTACAGTTTTATTCCTTTTCAGATTTATGACATTCAAGAATGTCAGAATTCAAAATTTCACATTGTGTGATTCCAGTGCTTTGCTTGAGCGAGCTGTTTGTAATAGGCTTGCTAGTGTTCAGCCATGGCTTTCTTCTGACTAGACAGGTTATTGAAATTAATTCAACTTGCCATGGTTTCACCTCAGATGAAAGTATTGATCCTGACACAACAAGAAATACAGAGCAGCTAGGTTCACAGAATGGGTGCTGGATGAAGCCCTCCTTTGAAAAGGCTGTTATTATTATCATTGATGCCTTACGGTATGATTTTGCACACTTCAATGTTTCTCTGAGGAAAGATGATGCCACACCATATCTGAATAAAATGCCAGTGTTTAGAGAGATCATGGATGCAAAACCCAAAGAAGCAATGTTAGTTCCATTCATTGCTGATGCCCCCACAACCACAATGCAAAGATTAAAGGGGCTTACTACAGGTAGCCTCCCTACTTTTATAGATGCAAGTCAGAACTTTGCCAGGTATGTTTTTTTCTGAGAAATTTAAGTTCAGTTGAATATGTATAACAAAGAAATGGTTGTTAGTGTGAAATTTAGGTTTACTCAGGATATGAACTTTCTTACACTAATAGTATAATGTTTTTATCCTTTCTTAACCTTTCCAAGTGAAGAGATAAGTGAAGACAACATTATTGACCAACTTGTCAAGCATCAGAAGCAAGTGATTGTTTTGGGTGATGATACATGGAATGGATTGTTCCCCAGAAGGTGAGGACCAATAACTTGGTACCTTAGACATTCATTGCTTGTTAAGAAAGGAAAATATTAAGAGCTTTTAGATATTATATTACTAGTCATCCTTGCAACATAGATTAATCAAAAACTGACTGTATACTACTAAGAGAAAATAACTTAAGACAGAATCAAGTAGTATGTGAGTGACATTAGGGTTTTATTTGATTCCAACTAGCCAAGAAAAACAATTAACTAACATATTTTTGCAGGATAAAAATTTTATCATCACAAGACAATACATTTTAGATATATTGCTTGCTTCTAGATATTTTGTTTGTTTCACACAATCATATTGATGAAAGAATAATATTGTATGTGCCTGACGGACATCAACTATTCTCAGATTTAAAAGATCGTTCCTGTTCCCATCATTCAATGTGATGGACCTTCACACAGTAGACAATGGAATTCTTCAACACCTGGAAGAAGAATTGCAGAAGAATGATTGGAATGTTATGATTAGCCACTTCTTGGGTGTGGATCACTGTGGCCACCGATATGGGCCTGACCATCCGGAAATGACAGCAAAATTATCACAAATGAATGACATAATTAAGTATGTATAAATTTGTTCTTTGGAGTACAAATTTCTTGTTAATCTTATCGGACAGAAGACAATCATTTATATTCTATACAAATTAGTGATTCATTTTAATTATGGAGGGAATCCTCTCTAGAAGTTAAGTAGTATTAAAGGCCACTTGTCAGTCACAGTCTAGCTACATCGTTTCAAAGAGGGAGGGAGAAAGAGGTAGAGATAGAAGTAGGGGGAAAAGGAAGGAGAGAGAGGTAGAAGAGGAAAGGAAGGGAGAGGGAGAAGGGGAGAGGGAGAGATAGGGAAAGAGTCAAGGTTTTTGCCAATACAAAGATACTGAATCAGAGATGATGTAAGTAATTTGAAATAGTTACTTATCGGCATTACTTACTTTTGGTAAATGATTGTGGCCTAATGGGGATTCATTGGGAAAAAATGAGGGATATATTTGGGTGGGTCATGGCAATGACTGGTAATAGTGGTAAATTAATGGTAATGAAAGTTATTGCAAAGGGACTCATTGGCTATGGATTGCTTCTTGATTAGCTGTTACAGTCAAGATAGAGGAAATGGGAGACACATAGCTTAATGGGAGGATGTGGAGGAATAGAAGTCATTTATGTTGGGTATGGCTAGGTGTAGTCTGTTCACTTGGCTCTAATAGCTGGAGAAGAGAAACATTTGAAACAAAGCTGCTCACTGGTCAATGGAACTCTGAGGATTGTAGTAAATTTACAGTTCTTATTTTTACAGATACATATTCATATGTGTAAAGTCTGCATTTTGGATCTTAAGTAAGAAGTACCATAAAAAGTGGAAAGTAAAAAAAAAAGAAAAAAAAATCAAAATTAATTATAAAGGCTAATAAAGTGAAGAGTGAAGTAAACATGAACACGCAATTGTTTTCAGAGAACAAGGTTTCATATTACCACAAATAGATGATTTGCCCGTTATACAATATTGTACTGTAAATATTTGTTATCTGATGACTTTTTTTATTCTGTATAGAAATACAATTTATCCATTTATTCATCAATTTATTATTTTTATATATATTCGGTTTCCATTCGCCACTAAATTTAGGTATATATGATATTAATTAAGCATGGTTATATATACCAATAATACCACATCATATTTTACTCTTTTTTCACTGCGAAAAATATTGGATTCTGAAATGGCAACACAGGATATTGGTGCAGAGCATGGCAGTCTGGCTTCCCACATTGTAAACCAATAGAAAAATAGCAACACACCAAAAACAGTAGTAGTAGCAATTAGTTAGTTGTTATTGTTAGTATTACTAATTTTGTTATTATTACTGATTTTATTATTATTATTATTACTATTGTTATTATTACTATAATCAAATCAGTAATAATAACAAAATTAGTAATACTAACAA